TGGACTGAAGGGATCGTTACACAACCTATACTGTCCAACTCCATTGTATTCACTGAGCAGCTCGCATTTGTGCTTCAGGACTCTCAAAACGGGCATTGGTAATATACCTTCTCATTATTATTGCAATAGACAGGCTTCCCAAAATGTTGAACTATCCCGTTTAAGTAATCCATAGAGTTTGTTACATAATTATGTTGTCATTTTATTGAATGTCCTGTTTTTACATTTCTTAACTTTCAGACTATACACTTGGATGACGAGCATAATTATGCTAGTACCTCCACATGTCTTGATGTCGAGAGCTCCTGTTACAGGTGTGTTTTGTGTAATTGTATATAGATTGGTAGACAAAATATCAGAAACATTATTGAGGGGTAAACACATTTCTCTCCTGACAAAGGTTAGATATTGAGTTTAAGCTGGAAGAGCTCGTCAACAATTTGATTGGTTTGATTTTTATTGGATATGCATTTATGTGTGTCTATAATTACATTGTGTGAACGTCTTTGTTTTGCAGGACGTACACCAACCTCTTTGCACCTATCGTCATTGACGATGATGAAGATGAAGTTCTCGTTGTTGACGAAAAAAAGGACATGCCCTCAGAAAAATCTGAGTGAGTCATATAGACACAAGTAGAAAATAAACAAGCTCTCTACTTCGTCTAAAATAGAATTATACAAATGTGAGGACTCACTAAAATGAAAACCAATATGACATTCTCTGTCTGTAACTACTTGAATCAGGTCCAGTTGTTGAGATGTGTGTTTAAAGAGAGTCCATTGGAATTAAGTTAATAAGAATAAAAAACTTGCTCATTCTTTTATAGATTGACTTATCAGTGTCTCTCGTGTCAATATAATGTCAGGATATAGTCTATGAATATGGAATGAAAGATTTGTGTAAAGTAAGTAAAGTAGCTACTGTGCTTTGAATCTATTTTTTAATGTCTAAAATTTTTTTTTTGCTTTTTTCTAGACCCACAACTGTGCAGGCCTCTGAAATAATTGCAAATTTGGCACTTGCAATTGACCACAACAAAGTCAGCAGGTTCAATATATCCAGATCTGATGTATGGGATGGAGCTGTAAGAGGCTTTCGACGCAGCTCATACTCCGAAAAAAGTGAGATCTTTGTGAAGTTCACAGATGATGCAGGGTCTTTAGAAGAAGGGTTGGACACAGGTGGGCCGAGGCGAGAATTCCTCACACTTCTAATGGATCACCTGAGAAATCGTCCCATCTTCGATGGACCTCAAGAAAGACGCTATCTTGTGTACAATCCCACAGGTGTGTTTTTTGATGTTATATTAAAATGAGAAGTTTCAGATAATTTTCTTTTTTTTTTTTTTCTTCCAGTGATATAGATGGTAATTATGTATGATAATTCTGTACTCTTTAACAGCTGTCAGGGAAGATGAGTATTATCTTGCAGGCAAAATGATTGCTGTGTCCGTCATACACGGGGGACCAGCACCACATTTCCTTTCAAAGGACCTTGTCAACCACATAATAGGGAAGCCAAGTTTCAGCGCCACTGTGGAAGATGTAAAAGATGAGAATATAGGGAGAGCTCTACATCAGGTAGAAAATAAGATAAGAGATGATAAGTTGTACTTAATTAAAGGGACAGATTTCCACTTATTTTAACCAAATGTAAAAGTAATTTCATCTTTTTTTTTTTTTTATGCAAGATTTCTATTCATCAAGGACAAGAGTAAACAAGCGTGTATGTTTTAGGGTTGGCCTAATAATACCTTTTGTTTTAAATAGGTCCAGGAAGCCGATTCGCAGGAGTCTTTGCAAAATCTAATTTTGCAAAACAGCACAATGTTCCAAACAGCTGGATGCTTCCGACCTGTCAAAGCTTGTGAGAAGCATACACTTGTGGAGGAGTACCTCAAATGGTACATTATAGACCGCAACCACATTGCCATTCAACGGTAATATTTAAAACCCTTTTTTTCTTTGCCAACAATCATCCAAAAATGTAATAGTTTAGTTTTTAACTTATCCAACATTCAGTCAGTATTACAAATTGCCTGTCACTGCAGCCACTGACACATTGTGAAACAGTGTAACCAGGTGTTTCTTAAATAGCATGATTGAGGAGCATTCTTACTGGGTTAGATTGTTCTAACTTCAGTTGCTATGTCCTCTTATTGTCCTATTCAGGGAAATGCTGAACAAAACATTTTAATGTCTTGAACGATACTAGCTAATATTAGGTTCCATCACTTTTATGATCCACAAATAGGATCATGTAAGTGTGTAAATCATGAAATACAGTCTGACACTGAGTAAACTTTGTTAAAGACAAATATTTAACTTTTACATGAGCATGTCCACTAGATTCAATTGAAAGTTCTGTCTTATGTACCTTTTGACATGGCGAAACATATTGCAGTTCTAATGTACTAATGAAACAATTCAGCTGTTTGAAACCATAAAGGTTCATTAATTAGCAGCTCTGGTTGTGCTCCATTTTACCCTCAAATACCATCCGGCTTATCTGTCTATTTTTCCTTTGTGTGCTTAGTGCTAAAATAAATGTTTGTGCTTTGTTTACCACACTTCTGTTTCTTACAATTTGAAATCCAGATTTTTAGGAGATGAGTACAAATCATGATGATCTTTCCTTTTTTGACATCACAACTAATTTCTGTACACTATGAAATGTTGTCTGTATGATCCCATATAAACAATCTACTTTACCTTTTGCATGAGGTTATACAATCAGAATTTATGTCAAAATATATTAAATTGTGGAAAAAAAGCCACCGCTCATCTGTGGGCAAGATTCTTCTGAGAGGTGCTTGAGCTGAACATTTTTTGACACAAAAAATACAAAAACAGCAACCGCACACTCATAATGCTGTACAATCATTAATTTATTTCTGCAAGCTTTCAGTCTGTGACCTCCTTCAGGCATACACAACAAGTGAAAGCTTCAAGAAATAAATTGATTATTGCACAGCGTTGTGAGTATGCAGTTGCTCTTTTTGTTTTATCTCTACGTATTTTGCAGACATTGCTGTTATATGTTTGGTAGTACTGTTTTCTGTCAGACCTGATAAATCACACCTATGTCTTACAAAATAATTGTCCTTAATAGATTCAAAGACGGACTGGCTAGTCTGGAGTTTTTGGCTTCAGTGCAGAAGCATCCTGGTGTGCTGGCTCCTCTCCTGTGCTATTCTGCCAAGGCCCTGACTGCTGCAGAAATAGAACGTCTGTTCATCCCAGACTTCAGCACAAGGGGAAGCAACAGGTGGCAGAGAGAGACCAAAGTTATCGGCTTTTGGGCTGATTTTCTACTGGAATGTGAAGGTTTGTCATGGCTATTTTGTTAGATATACAGTCGCGGAAAACATTAAGAGACCACTTTTACAAATGTTTCTTTAAAAGCATCTTTTTTAAAAAAATACCAACACAAACAATTAATTGAGACACTGATTAAGTGATCTTCTGAAACACATCTGTTTTTATAGGAAGATTATAAAAACCACTGCTGGGATTAAACATTGACATCATCCCACTAAATCTGATGTATTAACGCATAAGTTATAATACTCATATTGTGTTGTGTTGCTGAATAATAACAATAATTCTGCCGGCCGACAAGTTTTTATTTCCTTGCAAGGAAAGGTCAGTCCTCACCTGAGCGGTGATGGTAAAGGAAAGACTCTGAGATTGGGGAGACCTAAACATTTATACCTGAGGAGAGGAAAAATAAATAAAATATGTTTCACATCCCTTTGTCTGCTGCAGGGGTCGGCCCCTTCCCCAGAGAGTGTTTTTTACACCCTTTTGTCTGTTGCAGGTATTGGCACCGACCCCCAAGGGTGTGTTTCACACCTGGGGCATCCTGCAGGGTTTTGTGTCTCGGTGGGAAGTTAAGAGCATGGGAAGTAGGTGGGAAGTTAAGAGGTCTAGACATGAACATACACAAATGGTCAGCATACAAAAGGAGATCTTATACCTTGGGGGAAAAGCATGGTGTAGGGACATCTCAAGTGATTGAACCATAGACAGATTCAAATTTACCATTACACTAGTTGTCATTTTCTGCCAATAAATGCCCTAAATTACAGTATTTTCATTACATTTTTGGGAGAAATGTTGTCAGTAGTAGATAGAATAAAACAGAAATGTTCATTTCACTCAAACACCTACCTTAAATAGTAAAATCAGAGAAACTCATCGTTTAAGTGGTCTCTTATTTTTTTCCACGACTGTACAGTATATGAATTGTATAGTGCGTTCATATTTGTAATTTTTATCTTCTTCGATGAAATGAAAAAAAAAAAGCTATTGAGTAACTATGTTTTTAGATAATGCCGTGTCAAGCAATGCACTACTACAATGTTGACTTTCTCTTTTTAGATGGAGTGATATCTCTGTCCCTCCCAGATGTGCTGATGTTTGCCACTGGCTTGTCAGCACTGCCACCAGCAGGAATAACACCCCGTCCAAGTATAGGGTTTTTAAATGACTCACCGTTTCCAATGGCAACCACGTGTTCGAACACACTCAAGCTCCCACTACTCGACTCCTACAGTGTCTTTAGGAAGAATATGGAGTTTGGCATCAAAAATGCACCAGGCTTTGGGTGTTTTTAGTTGCCAAAAGGACTTTTATGCATAATCACTTTTATTAAAAGTGGTTTGAGCTGTGGCTTGATTTAGGCTTTTTTTTTTATTTTTTATTTTAATCTTATTTTTATCAACTCTCTGTTCAGAATAATGCTTTACAAGGTCATGTCTGCTTGTTTGCATCAGTTACTGTACTGCCTCTCTTGTTAAAAGGCCATTTGGGACATGACATGCATTAAACTAAAGTTAAGATAAGGTAAAGTAAAACAAGTGAGTGCTTCTTACAATGTTCAAATCTGTGCAGTTAGCTACTTGCATAGCATTAAAATCTCAGGGTGGTGTCCTGATTTGTTTGTTATTGCTGTTTCCTGTTTTTTACAGCTCTACATATATTTAAAGAAAAAAAAAAGAAATCAGTACAAATGCTTTTTGTAAGTAATTGTTGTTTACATGAAAATTGAATCAGAAAATAAATACAACTTTAAGTGTAAAATGTCTCCATTTCAGTCCCACAGTTCAAGTTGCCAAATCTGAAAATTCAAAACAAACATTTTTGGTAGGCCTATATTATCCTGTTATTTATCTCTTGAAGCAATTTGTAAATGTTGGATCACATTTATGAATGGGAAGTAATTTTCAAAACTTAGGCGTGTATAGTCCACCAGTCATTTACTGATAAGCATTAAGATGCATTAAAGCAAAATACTAAATAAGGAAAATATGGTCTTAATACGTCCATGTTAATGTGGGATACCTAAAAAGGTAGAAACGGGTTCCAATAGTCCATATCTATAGCCCAGCTATTTCCTTCAGAGTGATGTACAGTTCTGAGGCAGTCTTCCAGTCTTGTGGCTGTTGTAGTCCATGTTGTTCCACTGCCTGTTGTAGGTATTCCTCTATGTCTGGATCACCGCTTAAATCAATCACTTGCCTTGCCTCAGGAAACACATCCAGTTCCCTGTCTTCAACAGCAAATCCACAGTCCCTTGAACCAAATCTGCAAAATTAGATGATACAATGATATAAAGGAGAAGGTTTGAAATGATCATTGTTAGATTTGTTTGCTTGTTGATATACAGATATTTCTAAACAATGGTAGAGACAGATTGCTTCTAAATTCAACAATGGATTATACCAACATGTACAATTGTCCAAATATATCCCAGTTTAGGCTATACCACAACACCTTGCATTTTTTGTAATGTATATGATCATTACTACCTGTAAGGCAAGAGATACAGTTCATTCGGAATCCCTCCTGGACATGATGCATGTCTGCTTGGTCGGATCCGGTGCTTGTTCCATAGGTCCATACATTCATCCAGGTCTTGCTGCAGAACATTACTGAAGCAAAATCTCAGTAAGCACTGGTGTTCGTGGCTGCCATTGAAGTTTCCAGAGTCTCTTAGGTCTCCAAACAAGTCCATCCAAAACTGAGACCTGGGGATGCATTATAATAGATAAAACATTGTTATTTATAATGCGCTTTTACAAGTACTCAAAGAGGCTTACATACAAATAACACCGTTTAAATGTGGATACATCTTAACAAAAGCATCACAGAGAAATAATGTATATCATATGATTATTACAACAGTAGTGATTCAATAACTTTGGGAAAAATATGGCTTCCCATGTTCAGTATTAGGCTATCACTTAGTGTTTAAGTGGCCTGAGTTAAACAAGAACACTAATAATAATCAATGACAAATACGGAGATTTTAATAACACTGATCAGTGTAATAGAGACAAAGGTCATCACTATACAGCTTCCACTGTACTTTTCATCCATCAAACAACACAGATGTACCAACCTCCCTCTTCTGAAAAAAGACCACCATGACTCGATGCGCTGATTCGATGTTGATGAGCCGTAACTGTGGCTTGACGAGCCTGCATAGTGGTCCATATGCGCGTGACGGAGGGTACATTGTATTGCTGCCATGGTCCCATTTTCTGTTCCGAGGTCAGTTCTCAATCTCATTGGAACCACACCGATACTCTTGACACAATTAATATAATTGTGAGCAATGACAGATGGATTATTGTTCGTTGGTCCACAAACAAGCCACATTATTTTTCTCGAAAAGCCATCGATACATCCTGAGAGTGCCAGGCCAAATGGTTTTAGTTTATCATATCCATCTACATGCCATATGTAGTTTGGACCCATGGAGTGATATGTGCGTCTTGTAAACCTCCTGCGTGTTCTCAAAGCCGTCCCTCGTGGATTCAGCTGTTTCAGTAGCCTCATTACTACATCACGTTTAACGCGAAGCCTGTGCTTTTGTTGGAGAACTTGCCACATAGTCCGATAACCGAAGAGTTCCCCTGGTCCTTCCAGCTCTGTCAGAATGGCACGCCTCACCTCAAGGAGTGGGGAATAGTTGTGTCTTCTGTACAGCCCTGCTTCTTTTAAACGCGTCTTCAGCGTACGCAGACTCATGTTTACGTTGTGAAATGTCGACAGCATATCCAGTATCACGTCATATTCATGTCCGGCATCAAAGTATTGCTTAATAGCAGCGTGTACCTCATCATTTGTGGCGCTCATGATTTGGAAAAATGGAAACAAACCCCGTCTTTCCGGTTCAAAGGACGGACCAGTTCTTTTGTCCAATCAGCGATGATTCCTGTCGCCCGAGGGTACCTAGCATTTCCGTTTTGGTTAATGTCGCTGTGTTTTCTCTTTTTGTGTTGTGTTTTTTCTTTTTATGTTGTGTTTTCTCTTTTTGTGTTGTGTTTTTTCTTTTTGTGTTGTGTTTTCTCTTTTTGTGTTGTGTTTTTTCTTTTTGTGTTGTGTTTTCTCTTTTTGTGTTGTGTTTTTTCTTTTTGTGTTGTGTTTTCTCTTTTTGTGTTGTGTTTTTTCTTTTTGTGTTGTGTTTTCTCTTTTTGTGTTGTGTTTTCTGATTTGCCGTTGTGTTTTCTCTTTTTGTGTTGTGTTTTCTCTTTTTGTGTTGTGTTTTCTGATTTGCCGTTGTGTTTTCTCTTTTTGTGTTGTGTTTTGCACCTCAGGGCCACCGTAAGGAAGAGAAGACGGGTGCACAACGCCACGCTAGCGGTAAATATAAGTTCGATTACTGGTAGCTATGCTAAAAGCAGCCTAGCTTAGCTAGGCAAGCTAAAGGCAACCTAGCCTAGCTAGGTAAGCTAAAAGCAGCCTAGCCTAAAGCTTTATTAAAGTGTATTTTTTGTGATTCACAGGAATCAGTATGCCGTCTTAACAACTCGGAGACTAATTGCAGGCGCTATGAACCGGAGCAGGGGTAAGGTTTAAAGAATATGCTTTCATTCTGCGGTAAAAGGACATGGATACCGACCATAGCTGTACTTTTTTTTTTCTCACAGACTACAGTCGCCTCACAATGAGGCGGTGACCTCCTATTTGCTCGGATTTGCACGATGTTGATAAAGACGACATTGTGTGTAAGTGACTTGTTTTAATGTTTTCTCCTTCCTTGTTACTGTGACTTGCGTTTGATTTTATTTTTTTTTATTCATACCTCTCATTTGTTTTCCAGCTGCCTGTAAGACGTATTATGAGACGGTATGCAGGAGCTTCAGATACACGCTGCTAGCCAGCACGCTGCGTGCGGAGGCTGCCAGGCTATCTGCTCGGAGTCGGGACAGAAGAAAGATGGTAAGACTTTATTTGGTGACTATTTTTCAGGTGCATTGATAGATGTGTTGTGTCCGTATGCAGTGCGCTGATTCATTGTTTTGTTTTTTTCAGCTGCTGAAGGCGAGGCAGAGTGTGTTGGCAGATGAGGAAGTGGAACTCTGGAAGTCCGCCACCGTCGGCGGTGTCTCTGGATGGATTGTACGGTCGCCGCCATTTCGTAGGCCGGATCTCACTGAACTCTGTGTTAAGCTGCAGTCCCGGTTAGAAGCGATGCCGAAGTACAGGGCCACGCACAGTATGCGTCTGCACATCGGATCTGCCTCGGAGGGAATGCTGCCTGTTACCTCCAACCCCGATGAAGCAAACGGACCGTTCACTGAGTTTTAATTTTTAGATACGCATGTGTTTGGATACGCGTTGTATATAGTTGTGTGTGTTTTAATAAAGCTCTTTCTTTGCATAAACAGCTTCCTGGCAAATGTTCATTTCCTGTATAAATTCATTCATGTCCTTGATGGTAGCATAATAATTGTGTAGTAGTGTAGGATAACATAAATACACAGCATATGAATGAATAAATATATGAATATATATATATATATGAATGAATAAATATATATGAATAAATATATATGTAAATATATATATATGCCAACCAATCACGAGCGACTTTACTTGTTTAAAAGGAAGCGGTTCCGTCCAATACTCAGTAAGAAAATTAAAGCCTGGCGTGGCCACGTGTGGTTTTGCTGCCAATCACGAGCGATTTCACTTGTTTGAGAATAGTGGTTTCAGCCAATACTGAGAAGGTTATTCAAGCCAGACCTGGCCAGCCGCGCGGGTTTGCTGCATTCATATGCTAATTAGGGCCATTAGTACAGCTGATCGCTCTCCACATACGTCAGAGTCCGTTTCCGACAATTTGTGGCACGACAAACGCGGACAAGCACGGGTTGCAAATTGTCGGAAACTGACGAAAATCAGGCAGATCTGCGGGAGTTTACGGGGACGAAAATCTCACTTTTCATGCAGTGTGCGTGGTTGTATGCAACAGACTGGCACCCTGTCCAGGGTTTACCCCACCTTTAACCCATAAACTGCTGGAGATTGGCGCCAGCCCCTGTGACCCTGATGTATCATTGGAAGATGATTAATGCGTTGATATTTTATGCTATACTTTCAGTCGGACACTACTTCAAATCTGAACAAATTAAAACCTCTAACGTTGGATTAGATTTACATATTTTTCTTGTTCGTCCTGAGTAGATGTGTTTGTAAATAGCTGTTTTGGAAATATCTTTGTTCTGATATATTAATATATATTATTATTATTAGCAGGTAACAGAAGAACAGGAATTAGCATCATAACCCCAACATTTGATCCAGATTAGCGAAATAATAATGATGACAGAAAGCAGATCTTTTAGCACTGCTGGCTTGTGGAATATGTATCTCTGGCTTTCATATCCTAACATGCAGTTTGCTTGTTCACTCCCTTCATGCGCTGGTTCTCTCTGGTTACTCTTGTTTCCTCTCACAGAGTAGAACATCAATGAAAGGTTCATTTGCCATTTCAGAATGAGCACAAGCAGAGAATGTGTGTTCATTGTTATCTGTCCTATCTCTGTCATTCGATTCTATTAAATTAAATTCTATTCAATTAAATTAAATTCATACAAATAGTGCAAATTCACCACACATCCCATCTCAAGGCACTTTAAAGCAACCATTTAATCAAATCAGACAGACGGATGGTTGAAAGCTTTTGTTCTGATGGAACCCAGCTACTTGCATTGAGCCACAGACAACATTGGATTCACTCCCCCGGATGGACATGTGGTAGATATCAAACCTATTCCTGCATTTTGTCATTGACTCTGCAGCAATCCCTAACATCAATCATGCATGAAACAACAGTGGAGAGGAAGCAGAAGCAGACACACACAAAAGGAACATAAAGGTACTCATCTAAAATACATGTTAGTAAACAGTGAACTAGCTCAATATGCGGCTCTTTTTAGGAAAGAATCAGTTAAGCAACAATTATCTGCTTAGCTCTTGTGTCAAAGTGGATGAAATAGAACAACTAGTAACTCATGCTTAAAGCTAAACCTGTAGTTATATCAGTGAGCAAAACAGGACTAAACACTGAGAAAAAGGCGCAACTCTATTATCTATAATTGAAGTTGTTGATGGCAGCAGCCCAACAGCCTTCTCCCTCTAGGAAGATGTCATAGTTAAAAACAGCATCATGGCAGAAAAAGCTACTATGACAGGAAAATGTAGAAAACACAAAGTAAGTTGCATTGACTAGTAATACATTATTAGATAATAGAAATAAAGTAGAGCATAACTAAAGAGATAGCTCAGGATAACCTAAGTCCCTCCAACTATAAGCTTTGTAATAAATGTAATTTTGATGAACTGGTGTGTACTAGAGTACTGGAATGTACTCTAAAAACAGAATATAATTTGATTTGATGGAGATGCTTTGTAAACGTTCACCTGTATTGTTAAGTTCTAAAAACAGGATACCCCTCAGCTCTCACATATGTTTTAGGTATTTAAAGTATTTTGATTTCTGCAACTAAGTTGGACTTAATTCCATTGTGCATTGTCCTAAATTGAACTAAAATACTTTTTCTTTAATTGCCTTTGCATAAATTATGTAGGCAATTAGATTTACCTGAACAGCACCAGAAGATGATAAATGACTTCAACCTTAAATTGTGACTTTAGGAGCTGAATTAAATTGAGCTCCTATAAATGAACCATTTTTATCATATCTGATGTTCACCTTTTTTTTTTTTTTTTTTTACATCTTTGCAATAAAATTAAGGTGCTTTATCAAAAAAATTATACATTTTTCTTTATGAGCTGGTTAAATACGTTAAAGCAATTTAATGAAACTGGATTGAATCCGATCAGATTTGAGCCACAGGGTGGCACAGATTGTATAGATAGATTGTAGCTCTATTGCTTTGAAGAAGGAGGGATCTGATATTGAATCCTGAGCTTGGGCCCCTTCTTCATTTAGTTTCTATACTATTCTCTGTAACTTCCTCCCGAAGTCTGCCTTCTCATCCCTACACTAAAGGATAACACAAAGCTATAATTGAAAAAGAGAAGACAAAAAAAGAACTCTAAGTAAGCCAGTTGTTCTTGAAAAAATCTGGGTATTTTTCTTAGACAATTCGCTAATGCACTTAGAAGAGTTTGTTAATGCATTAAGAAGATGAAAACAACTCCACTATTGTACTTTAAGTGTAGAATAGCCGATGATCTTATTTTAGGGGCATAAATACTCATTGCATCATCAACTTTATTTGTAGAGTGCTTTAAAACACAGATGATCATCTTATTTACCTCTTTAAATAGGGGGATTCTAGACAATTTTTTACTCATTTATAGATCAGTCGGCCTGGGCCTGAGTCTCCTGGTCCTGTAAGGTAATCAGTAAGGATGGAGGATCCCCGGACTTCAGACCCTGAGGATCTCATCTGGGTCCACCTTGGGTGTGACCGGTCACAGGCGACCCCAAGGGCCACAGCCCCGTGGGACCTAGGCACTATGGCCTCTGGAGTCAGGCCCAGCAGGGAGTGGACCTCTTTGTGGATTAGCCCTTCGATGGTTGGGCTCCAGGTGTTCTTGTCTGCCTATCCCCATGTCTGCCCTCCTCATGTCCCAGTGATCTGGGGTGCTTTTGGATATCTGGGGCTCGGGTCACCTCTATATTGGTCAGGGCCCTGTAGGGCAAATCCGGGGCCACCCACACCTGTTGTTGATTTTCCTTTATAAATGAGCATGTCCATGCACACATACCAAAGGAGTTTGGTTCAAGATGTTCACAGATACACACTGATACTAAATACTAAGCTGCAGTTACAGATATAGTATATACCACTCTGATCAACATATAGCTTTTGCCTTCGACACACATGGATATCTAAAGGATACCCACTGCTCTTGAAGCTTTTTTGATGTCTACTTTGTTTGTCTGTTGTCTTCTTTTTACCGTTATGCTCTCTTTTCTGTTCCTCTTATCTCAGACAGGTATGGAAGCAGACTCTTCTTCTATGTGGTCTGTTTTAGCTGTTTTGTTCTATTTTCTCTCTTTACATGCACTCTTTCCTGTCTCTATCGCTCTCCCCTTAGTTCGTATCCC